CCTGAGAATCTTCCAGAAGGTTCTGGATCCATCCTGAGGGTCCTGAGGTTCTTCCAGAAGGTTCTGGATCCATCCTGAGGGTCCTGAGGGACTTCCAGAAGGTTCTGGATCCATCCCGAGGTTCTTCCAGAAGGTTCTGGATCCATCCTGAGGGTCCTGAGAATATTCCAGAAGGTTCTGGATCCATCCTGAGGCTCTTCCAGAAGGTTCTGGATCCGTCCCGAGGGTCCTGAGAATCTTCCAGAAGGTTCTGGATCCGTCCCGAGGGTCCTGAGCCTCTTCCAGAAGGTTCTGGATCCATCCTGAGGGTCCTGAGAATCTTCCAGAAGGTTCTGGATCCGTCCTGAGCCTCTTCCGGAAGGTTCTGGATCCGTCCCGAGGGTCCTGAGGGACTTCCAGAAGGTTCTGGATCCATCCTGAGCCTCTTCCGGAAGGTTCTGGATCCATCCCGAGGGTCCTGAGCCACTTCCAGAAGGTTCTGGAGCCACCCCGGGGGTTCCAGACTACCCAGAACGGTGCTGAGGTTCCAGATCATTCCATGGGGTTCCAGACCAGCTTCAATTCTCCCATTTTTGGGTTCAATTCTCCCATTTTAGGGACATTTCAATCTCAATTTCCCCATTTTGGGGACCGATTTTTGGGCTCATTTCTTCCATTTTTAATCTCATTTTCCCCATTTTTAGGACAAATTCGGGCTCATTTCTTCCATTTTGGGACCGTTTTAATCTGAATTTCCCCATTTTGGGCTCAATTTCCCCATTTTAGGGACATTTTGGGCTCAATTTCCCCATTTTAACCTCATTTTCCCCCATTTTGGGAGCATTTTGGGCGCAAATTCTCCCATTTTAGGACCATTTTAATCCCATTTTCCCCCATTTTGGGACCGTTTTGGGCTCATTTTCCCCATTTTTAGGACAAATTCGGGCTCAGTTCTCCCATTTTGGGACCGTTTTAATCTCAATTTCCACATTTTAGGGACATTTTAATCTCAATCCCCCCATTTCCCCTCCCCCACCCTTCATTTCCCCTCCCCCACCCCCATTCCACCCCTCCCCCACTCCCATTTCCCCTCCCCCGCCTTTTCTCACC